TAAGAAAATAATCATACTAATATTATAAATGTGAAAGTTTAGATGGATGAATGTTTGTTAGAGTTTGTAGCCTAAACGGCTGAAGGGATTTCGATGAAATTTGGTATAGATGTAGAGGATAGTCTGCAAGAACACATAGGCTACTCACTTTTGTTTTAATTCCACGCGGACGGAGCTGCGTTCGAAAGCTAGTTATAAATATAGCTTATATTACTCACTGATAACGTAGCTTTTTAATGGTGAAAGAATTTTTGAAATCGGTTCGGTAGTTTTTGAATTATTTCAATACATATAAAAATAGAAATCTTTTCTTTTTATAATATCAGTTTCATTTATAAGTTTTAATTTTGTAATGAATCAAAGTATTAACACAGTGGAAACATGGAATCTAACACGAATAACATCCAATTTCATTTTGAAAGTACCAGGCTTGCATAAAACTGCGTAGTCTAGATGTAGGCATTGTCATCTTTTATCATCACTCCATTCGGCTGACAAAGCTAACCTAATTCTGTACAAAGAGCTCTTAATACAGCCTACCCACTCCGATGAGAAATTAGAAAGACATTTTGTATGAGAACACAAAGGAAGTCTTCAAAAAAAAATCTTTAAAAAGAGAACAGTAAAATTGATGGAACATTTTTAATGAATCCGCAAGAAACGTATTATTGAAAATAACGATTAAAATACCTAAAAAGGCTTTTATGAAATATGTAACTATATTATGTAATAATTACATTGATTTATATCTAACTAGCTGCTCACGACTTCGCTCGCATTAAATTAAAAATACAGCCTATGTTACTGATAGCGTAGCTTTTTAATGGTGAAAGAATTTTTATTTTTGCCCAGTAGTTTTTGAGTTATTTCAATACATAAAAATACAAATATTTATAATATTAGTATACATTAAATGAAAACATCTCCGGGTATGAAATTATCCGTCATAAAAACTAATTTCCAAATACTGTAAATTTAAAAATAATAGAATTTTGTCAGTACTTTTTTATTACACTTTTCTTTAGTATAAAGATTTTTCAATTTAAACACATTCGTTGCGATACACCTAACAAATCCGGCAGCGAAATTTTTTAAAAATTCTCTGCCATTTTTAAACGCTCCCCATTTTAAGTGTTTACTTTGGGAACAGGGTTTTGTGCCTGTGTTCAATTGTTTCCCAGCTGTTACGTGCTCTAGTTTACACAAATGGTTAACCTTTTAACTTTTGCGTTTATAAAAAAATAGCCGCGGTATTGTGTATTTTGCACACGAAATGTGAAAGGTGAATGATCGAAAATTGTTTTTTCACACTAGCTTTAGTCCACGTCTTCGTTTGCGAGGAATTTAAAATATAGTGTTAATATTTACTATTATAATAAAGCGTAAACACACACTTCTTTGTTGCCTAAGATGTCAACAATTACAGCATGTTTTAGAATAACTCTTTTTTATTAAAAAGCCCTACACTTACGTCACGCTTTAAGCTATATATTTTCACGCCATTAAACTTAAGGGGTAAATATTTTACATAAAACCCCTAATGTGGGAAAGAGACCATAAGTTGTTGCCAACATCAAGGAAGCAAGGTTGCCATGGTTAGACATCATGTCATGTCATTTTGACATTTGCAATTAAGAAATTGACAAATGTGAAAAATAACATGAAATTTTCATAATTTCATGGGGATGGAGCCGCACGGGAACAGCTAGTATAAAATAAAATGAAAAGCATTATTGACTTCATATAAAATATACACTAACAACGTAAGATACTTATGAACATTTTTTTTAATAATATACAGTACTTGTGTTATTGATTTTTCCGTTTCGCAATTGCACAAGTAAATGTTGTCTACCTTTGAACCTTTCGTCGAGCTTCGTAAAGCCGTATTAAGATTCGTAGTGAAACATCCATCCATCCAAATCCAATCCAAAAAAAATGCGAAACATTTGTAATGTTATGATTAATTAAATAAAATTGTGTGATTCAGTTTTTCACATTTTTTTTGACAATTGTTGGATTCAAAATTCAGTTGTAAACACATTAATTGATTTCTATATAGTAAATCAATTATAAGAAAAGAATAATATTAAATATGCCGTTACCATTCAATAATATACATTGAGTTTTATAGTTGGGATCAAAATATATCTAAATGAATATACATTCTAAATCTACTGAAATAAAATAGAAATCTAAAAAAAATACGCGACACAATTGCATTTAAATATAAAACAAGAAACGAACACAATTAAAAGCATAATAGAAAAGCAGCAATTGTTTTAGTTTTCTCGGTTGGAAAAAAATCCAAGAGTTTGCATTTGGACCTTTGCCCAGTTTCCGGGCTTTTCAGTCCCCCTAGCAGCATTTGTCAACCCCCTTAAGTGCTATTATGTAAATAATTCTACATTTACTCTATTTTTACAGTACAAATGCAAGTTTACATGAAATATATTTTCCGTAACATTTACAATTTTTACTTAGAACGTCGGTGGCTCTGTGGTTTAACCACTTGACTTGAAATCTACAGGCCTTGGGTTAGAATCCCGCCATGTACCAATGTGATTTTTGATTTTTATATGAACGTAATTTACACATCGTGATGCCTAAACATATCGGCGAAGAAATTCAAAGATATGTGCGAAGTCAACCAACCCGCACTTGGCCAGCGTGGTTGAGTATGTCCTAGTCAGCCTAACTTGGAGTAGACTCGGAACCCCTCGGTGGGGATGTATAGTGAGGTGGTGATGATGATGATCAAGTAAACAAGTGATAAGAACCTACAAAGATATGGTAGAGCATATACTGTGCCAACCCCCCCTTTTTTTTATAACATAAGGTGGCAAACGAGCAAGCGGCCACCTGTACCCACCAAAATGGCGAAGCGACCGTTGCCCATAGACATCCACAATTGCAGATGCGTGGCCTACCCGTATCCGACGAAGGAGGAGACGCACATAGAGAGGATATTTCCTCTTCCTATGCATCTCCTCCACCGTCAAATCAACTTCTTCTTCCCATCCCCTCCTCATAAAAAAATGGTAAAGAGAAATGTACTTAAATTACGCCTCTGGTTCCACACTCATCAGACGAAATACAAAACTGCTTCCATTTCACTCCTGTTTTCTGTGTGGTCGTGATATTACACCGGGCGTGCCGGCACATTCGTACGAAGGTGTTAAAGCGGGCTCTACTACTTATGTTCCACAGGCACAAGGGCAGTTTAATGATATTTATTTTCTGAAACTTCATTAGGAACTTCAGTTATGATTTCTGTACAGAGAAAGCAATTTCTACTTTTAAACAATATCAGTGCACTTAAAAATACTATAGGCTTGTTTTAATAAAATACAATTCAATTGCCAGCGCTTACAAATTGATTTATGTGTCGGTACGCGCGCGAACTAGGTGACCTGAAACACGTGGCCTCACTCGTTTCCTATTATCTTTTTAATCAAACACAGAGTAAAACAAATGTTATTCAATACGTGAATTCACTCTCATTTGTTTCTTCGTGTTCTAGACAACACATATCTACTGTTCTTTTCTTCATTTATTGGTGTAGACAGCCAAATTTATCTGACCCGGTGGCTATAAATCCAACTTAAACTATGAGACCTCACCAATGACGTTAAAATAATATATAGACGAGGCAGTGAAAATTTTTTCACCGGTACTTTCTCTGAAAGGTACTATATCAGTTATAAAGTTTAGTGCCACCTCGTGTTGTATTGACATGTAATAAAATATTTACCTAAATTATGATAAGCTCCATCTTTTGTTATAAAATAAACTAAACAGTTTCAAAATAAAATTAGAAATGACATCTGTTGGCAAATTAAATACAATTATGATAGTAATAAATAAATATAGTTTTGAGGATTTATCAATAGATAGCGTTAGTGTTGATTTTGTAAAATGGATCAAATGAAGTACCAACTATGCCTCCTCTAATATTTGAATCTCTTTGTAGATCGCTAACGCCCGTGTCGGTATAAAATAATGTCACAATATCTTTAATAGATATATTTGAAATGTAACGTTTTAATTTATATATGTAACTAGCTGTTCTCGTGCGGCTTTATCCGCATGGAATTATAAAAATTTTATTTTATTATTTACATTTGTCAAATTCTCAATTGCAAATGAAAAATACCAATTACCTTACTATGCAATCTTGCTTCCTTGATGTTGGCAGTAACTTATGGTCTCTTTCCCACGTTAGGGATTTTATCCAATTTATTTACCCCCTAAGCTTTTTAAAGTGAAAATATATAGCCTAAAGCGTGACGTAAGTGTAAGGCTTTTTATTAAAAAAGAATTATTCAAAAATATTCTGTGATTGCTGACATCTTAGGCAAGAAAGAAGTGTGTGTTTACACTTTATTATAATAGTATAGATAATAATTGTATATGGTGTTAGGCATTTATTTATCTAAACTTGTTGATCATAAGTTAGTGCGTTACCGCATGTTTGAACACCATGTGAGTCATTAAAAATAATGAGTTTGCCTAACGAGTTTTTAAACGTCCTTACTGCATTTAATGTGCGTAACACGTCGCTCTAAACTACGTAATTTGGTTGTTGAAATAAATATGATTTTTTTTATAAATAAAATGAAAATGTTTCATAAGAGTCTGCGCACATTTTTGATTAAACTATCGCATAACTAGTGCGATCGTCGATTGTTTAGGAGTTTCAACTGTTTAGTTGCACAATTAAAAATCGCGTGCGCACCTCCATATAAACTCATAGGAATCAAAGCGCGACTAAACAGTTGTGCGATAGTTTAGTGTAAGGTTTGCGGATGCTCTAAATATATGTATGTACCTTTGGTTTGGGGTCTTTTTACTTTGGGCTAAGTAATTTGTGACGTCAAAGTTCTTTTGTAGAGAAGAATTGTTATTTCTACCATCATCAAGTTAAAAACTAAAATTAACTGACCAAGATGTCTCATAATTCTTACATTAAATGTTAAAATTAAATTTACCTTTCACAGAAAACAAGCAGAAGGAAGACCAGGCGTCAGAAGAGCAAGCAGCAACAAAGATACAAGCAGCGTTCAGAGGGCACAAGACGCGTAAATCTATGAGTATGAAGACTGCAAAGAAAACCGAGCCCGAACCGGAGCCGACCAGGGCCGAACTCGAAGCCGAATTCAGGGCTGATGACAAAGGTACCGGTTTAGTGTTAAAAAAGCTTAAAATAAAGTTATGCATTTAACTAATATAAAAAATCATACTAATATTAAAAATGTGAAAGTTTAGATGGATGTTTGTTATAGTTTGTAGCCTAAACCGCTAAACAGATCTCAATTAATTTGGCAATGTAGAGGATAGTCTGGAAGAACACATACTTGGTTTTTTCATTCCACGTGAACGTAGTCGCGGTCGAAAGCTAGTAGTAAATGAATAAAATTTATGTATACATTCCCAAAAAGTTTTTTTCGTATTACACTGTAAAAAATAATGTAGCTACTTAAAATATCTTAAATAGTAAAATGATCTGGAAACTAAATATGTAGAGATTCAAATAAATCACTTATAGAGGGGACAATAGAAATATTTTCTTGCTTACGTTCGTTTATTTTATTAATTAGTTTATTTATTAGTATACCCTCGAATAGCATTTGATAAACGGGATGTGTTAATTATTAGATAATTAAAGGTTTAAATGTGGTTAGTGTTGTCCTGTCTAATGTACAGTCAGGTACATAAATATGAACACTATTATAAAACTTAAGAAACTTCAATAGCTCTTTAATTGCAAATAATACACACGTAATCAATAACATTAGTACATGATAGAAAACACATGCCAGCACACACGAAAAATGACATATCTAGGTTATTTTTTTATATAACATAAGGTGGCAAACGAGCAAGCTGCCATCTGAATCCGCCAAAATGGCGAAGCGACCGCTGCCCATAAACATCCGCAATTGCAGATGCGTTGCCTACCCCTATCCGACGGAGGAGACGCACATAAAGAGGATATTTCCCCTTCCTATGCATCTCCTCCACTGTCAAATCCACTTCCCCATCCCATACTCTCCTTATAAAAAAAGGGTGGTGAAGAGAAAGGGACTTCAATTAGGCCTCCCGCACCACACTCATCAGACGAAACACGGAATTGCTTCCATTTCACGCCTGTCTTCTGTGTGGTCGTGGTATTACACCGGGCGAGCCGGCCCATTCGTGCTAAGATGTTAAAGCGGGCACTACCACTGTTAAATTTATAAGTTTATAAATGTGTACATATATATGAAGGTGACTGTACATGATACAAAATCTCTTATACCTTAAAAGGTTATTAGTGCATAATTTTTAAGCTACATAATATGCGGTAAAATATAAGGCGCAAAGTGGATTCCTTTTGCTCGCGGCTTAAAGTATTAACGTGAGCTTTGTTAGTAATTAGCGGTAAACCGAAATACACCACTAATAAGATTACGCTCTTAAGTGAAAGTACATTGTACTTAACCGTACTTATGACTTACATAATCCTCTACGAGAATTTCAAGGATTAGCTTAGATGTTAACATTATTTTTTATTTATTCTCCTTATAATGTTTAATTTTAATACGCGCGTTCATTTGTTTGTCTTTATACAAATACAATTGTTAGATTATAAAATACATTTACAAAATACAAGCTTTTGTCCGTTATTCCGTCCGCGAGGAATAAAAAAAGTAAGTAGCCTATGTGTTCTTCCAGAAAATCCATCTATGCCAAATTTCATCGAAATCCGTTCAGCAGTTTAAATTACACACTCTAACAAACATCCATCCATCTAAACTTTCTTATTTATAATATTAGTGAGATATTTATATTATTTCAACTAATACATATTCTCTGTTATTATAAACTAGTTGTTGCTCGCGACTTCGCCCGCGTGGTTTAACAAATATAGCCTATGTTACTCACAGATAAATAACCTTTCTAATGGTGAAAGAATTTTTAAAATCGGTCCAGTGGTTTTTGAGTTATTTCAATACATACAAAAATACAAAGTTTTCCTCTTTATAATATTAGTATAGATATAGATTAAAACATAATTAAAGATTAAGAACAACGCCATCTATGTTTTTAAAAAATATTTGCTAATTTTAGTTTGCAGAATCTTGACGACTAATTTTGTATGTTAAATATTCTAACTGGCTATTAATGTATTTTCTAAAATACAATTAAATCTGCGATAGGAAATAATTTACTAACATCATGTTTTGTTGACAGAGCTGTGTAACGCTGCTACCAAAATCCAGGCCTCGTTCCGCGGTCACCAGGCTCGCAAGCAGACGCAGGTCGAGAAAGACAAGGAGCAACAAGATAAGGTATAAAATATATAACAAAGTACAGATACATTAATACAAAATAATCTGTCTTGGATGTGTGTGTACTTACAATTTAAATTCGATTCCTTAAATCAAATTTCCCATCCTTTGTTGCAAAAAAAGGTGGAAAGGGAGACCTAAATTAGGCCTCCGGTACGCACATTTATCAGTCTGAACGTAGAATTGCTTCTATGCGCCGGTACATTTCTACAACTTTGCTTTCGTCCACCACTGTCTTGCGTCACAACTGTTCTTCTAAATCACCATTTCCCCGTATTTATTATACTCCAGTAGAGGTACACCATACTTTTAGCCAGGTTAATCTTACTTCATCTCAGTCACTCCATTTTTGAGCATGTCCACCTTTCACGCAATCTATCTATCTCTTTCTAGGTCTACCACTCTAATTAAAAGTGACTATACAAGCATTTTAATTAAAATGATTCTTTTTATTCGCAGGAGGACATCGAGAAAATAGATCTCACCGATCCTGAATTGAACAAAGCAGCGACTAAAATTCAGGCTTCGTTCCGCGGACACAAAGTTCGCAAAGATGTCCCCAATTAATTCCATTCCAATCTTACACTTCGTATGTACGAATTTCAACTCTGCGTCTTTAAAATAAAGTTTAATTCACATTGTATCATTACTTTCATGTAATCTTCTTCAGATATGCGTACATATAGAAGTTATGTAATATTTATTAGTTATTGTACACCAGTAAGCATTTTAAGTATGTCAATTTGTCTGTCTTTAGTCAATTTTTAATATATCCGTCGTCGCTCATTTATTTAATTTCAACTTCGGTCCTTTTAACCAAAAAAAACAATCGTAAAAGCTCTTCAATTACTTTGAGTGCTGTGTAAATGCAAATAACCATTCAATTACATTAATTTTAACATCTGATGTTAAAAAAAACGTAGTAATCGTTTTATTCATAGTTGAAATCGTAATATACAAACAAGATGACAAACAAGTCACAAGACAAACCTCTTGTCTTGACGCATTCCATTTACGCGTTTTAGTTTTAGATGTCAATAAACAGATGGCGTTATTGTCAATTGTGATTAAATGTAAACTAGTACCATCGTTATTAATTTGCTTTATTTATATTTACAGAAAATATACAATTTATTCATTGCTTACATTGTTTTACGTACTTTTTCTTCTACTGTCACATCTTGTACACTTTTTTCTAAATAGATGTCTTGGCGGCCAATATGCAACCTCTTTGGCTGTATTTATAATTCTTGTCAGCCAAAGAGGTTGTATTTGCACTAAACAAATTGATTTTTTTCTTTTTAATAATTTTGGTTGTAGTTACATAGCACTCAAATTTAAATGTTATCTATATTTCTACTATTTGGATATTAAAAATCAATTTCTGAATCTTACTAAGTATCTTCAACATTCCATCTGAGTATTTGTTAAATAATATGAAATTTTATTTTTAAATCGTATTTATTAAATAGACATAGTTGAACCATTAATATCGCTTGTTGTATGTTATAGCATTAGTGATTATCGTATATTATTCTGGTAATTCCATTCAAATAACAATAGTCATCATAAATATGATTTTCTTAATTTAATTTTAAATCCAAACATAACCGCAAACATGTCGGTATTTTAAGATTTATATTGAACATAATAAATAATTGCCTGTACGTAATATTGTTTTATTTTCATCCCTATTACTTTAAAAAAACTTTAAGACATCAATCAATAGCAATCAACGACAAACACTTCTAGTTAAAATTTAAAAAAATGCATAATTTGGTCAAAGAGAGTCTAAATAAAAACAAACTTGTATTAAACACTAAAGTATTAAAAACAGACAAACTATAATAGTTGAATATATTTAGAATATAGCTTTCGCTCGCGATTCCGTCCGCTCGGATTTATAAAAACAAATGCAAGTAGCCTATGTGTTTTTCCAGACTATTCTTACATATATGCCAAATTTCATCGAAATCCGTTCAGTCGTTTAGGCTACAAACTCTAACAAACATCCATCTAAACTTTCGCATTTATAATATTAGTAAGATATGAAAAAATCTAAAAAAATAGTTACAACCAGTGTAATGTGAAAAAGATTTTCTCATTTCTTCTTACCTATTTTGTCAATAATTCACAGAATTGGATAGTATAGTTATAAACAAACTATTCTAACTCAAAAGACGAGAAAATTTGCGAAAAAAGTATACAAAAAACACTAAAATAAAATGGACATTTTACGTAGCCACACCTTAAAGATAAAATTGGGTCGGATTGTAGACACAGGGCGTGTGTTATCTGATAGAAAAATGTAAGGCAGCAAAAAACTCCCCTTTAAGTAAGATTAATGTGTTCCTACGTGAGTAAATATATAACTGGAACGCACAAAGATTAAATATTCCTATGAAAATATTCGAATGTAAATACAGTTTTCACGCAACTGTTCTCTGAATGTTGAAGCAAAACGAAAGGAAACAAAAAGATATTTAGCAAATCAGTTTTATAAATTTCATACATTTTAACTTACGCTATAACATCATTACTATTATAATAAAGCGTAAACAAACACTTCTTTGTTGCCTAAGATGTCAGCAATTACAACATATTTTTGAATAATTCTTTTTTTAATAAATAGCCCTACACTTACGTCACGCTTTAGGCTATATATTTCACGTCAATAAACTTAGAGGGTAAATATTTTGGATAAAAACCCAAATGTGAGAAAGAGACCTTAAGTTGTTGCCAACATCAAGGAAGCAAGATTGCCAAGTTTTGTCATGTCATGTCATTTTGACATTTGCAATTGACAATGTGACACATGTAAACAATAAAATAATTTTATGCTGATGAAATCGAACGGGAACAGCTTGTTCATTACATAAAATACAAATCTTTCCTCGTTAACATTAGTATAGAAATAATACACAGGCGATATAGTTAAGGCTCGTCAAGGCTAAACGATGAAGTTTTATTGTCTAAAAGCTTTACGATGTGGACCTAGACGGTCGTATTTCAAGTAATTGTCCTCTAAACATTACGTTTGTTTAACCTTGACTAGAATATAAACTTTACTATAAAATCAAATCGACATATTGCTAAAACTGGCTCTGTTAGATTGAGGAAGAAATTCAGAACATGCCATTACAAAGAAACTTATCCCAGTTACTGTTCTGTGCCAGTTACTGGCACGCGTTAAGACATTATAACTTTAACGAGATCGTGTTAACAAGTCGTCAAACATATGGTCTTATTCTAAAACTTGTTATTGGTATAAAAATTGTGCCGAACCAGACGGGTTTGGGTCCCGCGTCACAATGTCAAAATGTAAACAAGAGGGATGAAAAATAATATAGGGGTACTTACATAGTCGATGTCCTCATCGCCTTTAGGTGCCTGGTTACTTTCGGTGTCAATCGAGTCAAGTTCTGTCAAGTCCATAGACGCCAGCAACGCTGCCGTATACACCGTTATTGTTCCAAACGCGAAACTGAAAATCAAAGCGACCCCGTTCGCTAACAAAAATGACATATTGCGATAGTGGTCAAGCAACTTCCGATGACTTCTTAACTCACTTGTAACCGACCGACTCGTTCGGCTGCTTGCATACGTCTCTACCGCACACCTCTCCGCAGGCCCCGCGTTCGACCGAACCGGAGAAAGATTCGAATCTACCCTTATTTGCGGTTGAATAAAAATGTATACGGGTACCCGCAAAAACGTTCCGCGGATTTTAAACTATGTTCGCTACTGAATGCGAACCGATATAATCTCTACTGAACATGTTTACATGATTAACTAAGAAATAAATATATAAATAAATATTGTGTTTCCTTAATACAATACCCTTAAATTATTGTTTGTATATTGTATTACTTACCTCTTGTTATAAACAACGAGAAAATGTATTCAATTACTAAAACAGGCTCTTAAGCGCTTCTTGTAGTAATTTGATATCTTCCCTCGAGCAGTGAAATCGATATTCCGTCTTATCTACAAATAATTTTGCTATATCCGTGAACATTTTTATATTGCTATTACATTACTAAATTCGGTTAAATTTGAACCAAATGGATTGAAAAACATTAATAATACCGCGGATAATACGCGTCGCCAGCCTTTATATTGATGTACTCGTAATTCGTAGTATATGGCATCATATATATTTTACACTTTCGCCCTTTGACTTTGTCCATTTGGAACTAAAAAAAAAAACATGAAAATAGCCTGATTGTTCCAGACTATCCTCTATATCTATGCTAAATTACATCGAGATTCGTTTAGCAGTTTAGGCAACAAACTCGACCAAACATACATCTAAACTTTTGCATATATAATAAGCAAGAATTAGATTTTTAGATTCTCAGTGAGGCTGGAAGCAAAATTGGATTGATATTAAGGACCTGTCCCACCAAATTGTAAAAATCCGACGTATAAAATATGTACATTATCGGATTTTGTTACCTTATCTGACAGTGGCGTCATTTTTAACGTATCTGAGCCTCTATCAGCCAGTGGGACAGGCCCTAAACATTTTTTACTACATAAGTTATTTTAATACGAATTCGGTGCGTTGAACAAAGTGTGAGTAATTTTTCTTTCACATATTACATGTAGGCTGTAGGTTAAACCGGGTGGGTACAGTAATAAAAATCCAATATCACTTTAGCCCCAATCTTATTACGATTACGGAGCTGTAAAAAGAAAGGAAACGAATAAAACCCACTCTTAGACTATTGTATGTTTATAAATGTTTTGTTAGAACTACAGGGTGTCCAAGACGTGGATAAAATAGTTTAAATACCAAAAAATGTAGAACTATTGGCTTAATGTTAAAACGAAATTTGTGTATTGACTTCAATTCCAAATTTAAATAATATGACGTCTGTTCGATTGATTTACGAAGAAATGTGTTTAATATTCGTTTCAGTATTGACCTGTATATCAAAATTTGCTATATGCCTCTTAGTACTATCGTACTTATATTATAAATTCTAAAGTTTAGATGGATGGATGTTTGTTTGAGTTTGTAGTCTAAACGTCTTAACGGATTTCAACGAAATTTGTCATAGACGTAGAGGATAGTCTGAAAGAACACATAGGCTACTCACGTTTACTTTTTTAATTCCAAGCGGACGTAGTCGCGGGCGAAAGATAGTTGTCCAATGATTTTAATGTGGTTCTTTGTGTAATACATCCTTGATGTTTCAGCTTAGTTATGGAATGGAATGGAAAATTTCGAATCCTTCCATGTACCAAAGTGTTTTCTTTTTTCTAAATTCATGTGTTCATTCAAGGAAAGCCTGGTGCCTGCATATATCTGCTAAACAAAGCTATTACTGGTCCACTGGTTACTTAAAAACTCAAATAACAACACTAATTAAAACAATTTCAAATATTGCCAGCAATGAAAATTATAACTAAATAGTTACTTTAATGGTTCAAAAGTTAACAATCATTTCTTATTTTAACTATAAAGCTAACACAACAAAAACATTAACCAAAATATTTAATCTGTTTCTATTTGTTCAAACAACAAAAGAAGTGAAAGCAAATATTTGCGGGCAACAGAGTAGAAAGCCGCAAAGCGATTGTTTTAAAATAAATTGAACTGGCAAATATTTTAAATAGATCACATTTGACGGCATTCTCGTCCAGTGAATTAAATCTATACTAATATTATAAAGAGGAAAGATTTATATTTTTGGATGTATTGGAATAACTCAAAAACTACTGGACCGAATTTATAAATTCTTGCATTATTAAAAAGCTATGTTATCACTGAGTAACTATTAAAAATTTTAAATTTTTAATATACGGCAACACTGAGTATTAAAAATTTAAAATATTGTTAGTTAAATTTTTAGTGTTGCCAATTAAAAAAAATCCTTCACCGTTAGAAATCTAATTTACCTGTATCATGGGCTTTTTAATTATTTTTTAATTTCTCGGTGACGTAGTCGCGAGGAACAGCTAGTTAATATTGACATTTGGTTAGCCTAACCGATAGTGTTAGTGGATCATGAGAAAAATGTCTCAAGTGAAGTGTCCACTATGCCTACTC